TCAATCAAGCAGCCATGTTTATAAAGTAAAAAGTAGAAAATAGATTATTTTAATTGCTAATTGTTCTTGAGACCTTTACCAAGATATATTTTTTAATGTGGCCTAAACGCTTTTCTCGACAGGCACAGTGAAGGAGTTACGGTTCATTCAGAGGCTGACATGCTGCTGACTGAAGTACAAAGAAGAGTAATCAAGGTGGTGGGTTTTATTTCCATATGGCTTTTAAATTTTACAAAGAAAATGATTTCAAGGGGTACACACTAGAAAGAAACAAGTCTATAAACAGTTACCAATCAGCCAAATACACACACCAATTGCTAAGAATATTCCCTCCACCCTCACCTGTTTAACCTACTCCCATACCCCATAATCAGCATCTAAAGGTCACATGCGTTATCCTTTTGTTCATAATTCTGAGGGAAGGGAAGGAAGGGTCAGACCGTGCTCAGAGACCCCAGAACCACATCTTAGATAACTTTGCAGACACGAATCTCCCACCATGATAGCGCTGGGGAGGCAGCGATGGGGGATGCCTCCGTTTAGGATAAAATGTGCAGAGGCCAGGAAGCAGAAGGCTGCCCAGACTAAGCTTTGCACTGGGTCTGCTGTGGAGGCTGGTCTCCTGTCCTCTCTTCAGAACTAGACTCAGGGGCCTCAGATAGTGAGTTTTAATTGGAGAAAAGGCTAGAGACTGTGAAGGGAGGAAATCAGACCTACATACAAAGCAAGCCTCTGTGGACTACCCATTCTTATAGAATTCCTCACTCCCAGGTGTCTTGGGAAAATTACCTTTTCTGGGAGTCCCAAAGCCCTGTTGGTGTCTCACAGGACCTCTTGAGGTGTCAGTAGGTTAATTTCAAATATCTGGACTTTAACATATAAATAATCACTAGATCAAAGAAGAGTCACAAGTGATATTAGAAAATATGCTAATAATATATAATATACATATGATAATGAAAGCATATCAAAATTTGTGGGATGTAGGGTAAAACAGCACATACAGAAAACTGTAGCTTTAAATGCCTATCTAGGAAAGAAGTGAAGTCTATATCTCAATGATCTAAGCTTTTACCTTAAGAAATTAAAAAATAAGTGCAAGTTATTGCTCAAAGTAAACAAAAGGAAGGAAAAGATAAAGGGTAAAAATCAATAAAATGGAAAAGATAAAAACAATAGAGAAAAATCGGTAAAACCAAAAGCTGCCTTTTTGAAATAAACTCAATAAAACTGACCAGCTGTAGCCAGACTAGTCAAGAAAACAGAAGATACGAATCCCCAATATTAGGAATGAAAGAAGGCGTTTCTCTACGTGTCTGTTAGAGAGGAAAATAATAATAAGGGCATACTGTGAACAATTCTATGCCGATCAGCTTGACAATCTAGATAAAATAAAATGTTACTTAAAAAGCAAAATTTACCAGAACTGACTCAAGAAAATTTGACAGCCCTATATAAATTAAGGAAATTGAATTAATAATAAAAACTTTCCCACACAGAAAACTCCAGATCTAGATCACTATATTGGGTATTCCACCAGACATTTAAGGAAGAAATAACACCAATCTTACACCAAAGTTTTCACAATATGAAAGAGGAGGAAGCATTTTCCAGATCATTTTATGGGGCTAACATTACCTTTATTATAAAATCAAATACATCACAAGATCAAAGAACTACAGAGCAATATTACTCAGAGCACAGAAACAAAAAGTTCCTAACAAAATACTAGCAAATAAGAACGAATAACATGTAAAAAGAATACTATATATCAGATCCAGGTGGGGTTTATATCAGAATGCAAAGCTGCTTTAACCTCAGAAAATAAACCAGTGCAATCTACCATATTAATAGAAAACAGAAAAAGAAATATATAATTATTTCAATGTAGAAAAAAAATTTGATAAAAATCAACAATCTTTCATGACTAAATCTCTTAGCAACTAGAAATAGAAGTCTTCCTCATCTGATTAAGGTTATCAATTTAAAAATCTACAGCTAACATCAAACTCAATGGTGAATATTTAATGTTTTCTACCTAAAATCACAAACAAAGCAAAACAAGGATATCCACTCTCACTATATGGATTTAAATTTGTATTGTAAGACCCAAATAGTGAATAAGGCAGGAAAAAGAAAAAGGCAAATTAGAAAGAAGACATAAAACTATCCTATTTACAGATGTGACTGTGTATGTGTAAAGCTCTAAGAAATCCAGAAAAAAGTTATAAGGATTAATATAGGTCACTTTAATAAAGTTGCAGGTTACATGTTCAAAACACAAAAATTAATTGTATTTCTATATATAGTGAAAAAATAGAAAATAAAAATGTAAACAATTTATAATTGAACAAAATTAAAATATTTTGGCATTAATTTAACAAAATATGTACAAGACCCACATACTAAAAACTACAAAATATTTAAAGAAAAACTAAAGAATAATTAAATAAACAGAGAAACATACCAGGCTCAGGGACTGGGACACTCAATATTTTTAAGATGCCAATTTTCCCTAGTTTGATATATCAATCCAATATCAATCAAAATCCCAAGACTTTTTATAGAAATTTCCAAGCTAATTCTAAAATTTATATGGAAATATATATGTTTTGATTCTGTTTTTCCAACTTTGTTATTTTCAAAATTGTTTTAGCTAGTTGTTTTATGCTAAAACAATTTTGAAAAAAGAACAGAGTTAGAAAACTCACACTACCTGATTTCAAGACTTGCTATAAAGCTATAGTAATCAATACAGTGTGGTATAAATGCTGTAAGAATAGATATATCAATGGAACAGAATAGAGAGTCCAGAAGTAGACTTATGCTAATATGGAAATTAATTTTTTGAAAAATGTCAAGGAAATTCAAGAAAGTCTTCAATAAATAGTGCTGGGATCATTGGCTATCTGTAGGGGAAAAAAATCTAATTCCCCAAATTAGAACTCTATACTCAGGGAAAATATTCTTCAGAATTAAAGGAGAATAAATATGTTTTCTCATCATCAAAAACTGATTAAAAATCACTGGGAAACATGAACTAAAGGGAAAAATAAGTTCTTTAAGCAGAAGAAAAATAATCACAGAGACACAGAATTGCAGGAAGAAATAAAAGAGCAAGAAAAGGGGCAAATATGTAGGTGAATATAAATGAGTACCAATCATATATGATAATAATGCATAGTATTATATATTAGTATGTTATATATTATGTATTCATATATTTTATACTATATATTAGTATATATTATATATTTATACTAATGTATTATGTGCTAATTAGTATATATTCTTAGAGAACCCAACATAAGTAATAATTTACATATGATAGTAACAAGGAAGCATGTTGTAATTTCCTTGGTATCCATTGAAAGAAATGTAAAATAATGTATGACAAGTTAATAAATAGAAAAATGGTATCAATTTCCTTTCTGCCCATAAAGTCACAAAGAGAATGATTTATATACTTTCAGTAACAAATGATTCAAGACTCTTAACTTGTGAAATACTTGAGTTGCTGTCAGTCTTGGTATAACCAAATGCCTGCTACCATGTGAGTCAATTCTTATTTGTCATTTTTTATTTAGAGTCTTTTTCATAAAAGAGCACATTCATTGACTTAGCCAAAAAGCAAACATAAATTTTAGTGAATATTTTATTTGGACATTTTAAAGTTTTGCTTTGTAACCAGAAGGTGTGAGGGTGAACATTTATTCATAGTCACTGAAATCTAAAGTCCTATTGTAGTGTATTTGTGGGTAAAAGAGTTGGAAGTAGCATGCTCAAGACACTTAAAATTTTGAAAAAGCAGTCATGCATCTCATCGATCACCATATGTGCTCCCAGAACACAGCTCCTCCATAATCCTGCTCTTCAATGCTAGCATTGTTGATTCCTTAGATCCTCTATTTCCCTTCCTCCTCTCGCTTGACACCTCACGTACGTCTATCAAGGACTGGACTGCAGTGGAAGGTGCAGGGAGTTTTTGTAGGAATTGTTTGGCTCGCTAGTCCATCAGCCTCCCTATGTTCCCAGAGTCGTGCCCTTGTCTCAGGTGAAGCTGCGGAAGTTTTTGAAGGAAGCAGCTGCCCCTCTGTCATTCTGTGAAGTTCTACAGTCCAAGTGGGAGTCAGGGTGATACGGTTTGGATGCTCCCCCCTCCAAAACTCATGTTGAAATGTAATCCCCGGTGCTGGAGGTGGGCCCTGGTAGGAGGTATTTGGGTCATGGGGTTGGATTCCTCATGGCCTAATGCTGTCCGGGTGACAGTGAGTGAGTTCTCAAGAGCTGTGGCTGTTTTAAGAGTGTATGACACCTCTTTACCACTGTGTCTTGCTCCTGCTCTGCCATGTGAGACGCTGGCTCCCCCTTCACCTTCTGCTGTGAGTAAAAGCTCCCTGAGGTCTCTCCAGAACCCAAGCAGATGCTGGCGCCGTGCTTCCTGTACACTCGGCAGAACTGTGAGTCAACTAAGTCTCTTTTCTTAATAAGTTATCCAGTCTCAGGTATTTCTTTTTTTAAAAAAAAAATATATTTATTGTTCTACCTTTTTTTTTTTTTTTTCAAATTCTCTGGGATCCTGATCAGGTATTTCTTTATTTTATTTTATTTATTTATTTATTTTTTGAGATGGAGTTTCGCTCTTGTTACCCAGGCTGGAGTGCAATGGCGCGATCTCGGCTCACTGCAACCTCCGCCTCCTGGGTTCAAGCAATTCTCCTGCCTCCACCTCCCTAGTAGCTGGGACTACAGGCGTGCACCACAATGCCCAGCTAATTTTTGTATTCTTAGTAGAGACGGGGTTTCACCATGTTGACCAGGATGGTCTCGATCTCTTAACCTCATGATCTACCCGCCTCGGCCTCCCAAAGTGCTGGGATTGCAAGCGTGAGCCACCGTGCCCGGCATGGTATTTCTTTATAGCAACACAAGAACAGCCTAACACACAGGATTAAGTTGATTCCAGGTAAATAAATAAAGAGAAGCAATGACTCACTGGAGACAGCAGCAAACTCAGTCCAGTTTTATGGCAAATAAAATAAGTCAAGTGAATTATGGAAATTGAGGGTACACATGAAGCGGTGGCAGGGAACGGGACTCTTGAGGATGGTCATTGTTTCCTGGGTTTGAACTTCAGAGCCACGCTGTTGATGCAAAACCTCTGACCGTTGGGCCCAGGTCCATCAGGAAACACGTGACCAAGATGAGCTTCACACTGCAAAGGGGAGAAGCCTCTGTCATCTCCAAATGCAGATGAAGCTCTTTACGTAAAACCAGACAGACAAAACCCTCCATGGCCACTCCACTCCAGAGTCTGACATCTGTGTTAGGAGAATGAGTCTATTGGATCAGAATTCAATTAAGAAATGAAAGAAAGCAGGACACCATCATGGTAAATAGCTTTACTTTATCAGTAGGATGTGAGCAAATTATTAAATATGGGCCTTGAGTTACTCTTCTAAAAATGGGGATAATTATCATACCTATGTAAGAAAGCTGTGGGGACAATTAATTGATATAGTGTATGTAAAGCATTAACTTAATTCCTGGGTAAGTACTGAATAATGTTGTAGTACCCAGTGTATTATTATTATTTATTACTGAAGGCAAAAAGACTCTATCTTAATTGGCTTGCCTCTAGTGTTTTACAAAACCCATGAGTCAAAAAATGTGAGCACCTAAGGATATCAAAATGAATTTATGATCTGGATTTAAGCCACTGTCTCCTACTGGGCTAACAGAAGGCACAGAGTGCTGATGTCACCCGCAGCATTGCTCTGCAGGCCAGTGACTTGCTGCAGAGTACAAAAGGAAAGTGGAGAGATGGAGGTGCCAGCCATGCTGAGTAAGTCAACAATGAGATGCCAGCCACTCGGGGCTTTCTGCTCATCGCTGCACAAAAGAAAGTGAAGATCCTACCTCTGTTCCTGTCTCTGTGGAAGATTAGAACCAGGAAAGGCCACTGTAGAGAGAGGCTCAAGAAGCCTTTTCTCTTTTCTGCAGTGCCCAGATGGAAGGGCGACAGTGATCATTATTGGCATGTGTAGAAACTCCATGTGTTCTGGGCTGGGTGCAGTGGCCCATGCCTGTAATCTTAGCACTTTGGGAGGCCAAGGCAGGTGGATCACTTGAGGTCAGGAGTTTGAGACCAGCCTGGCCAGCATGGTGAAACCCCATCTCTACTACAAATACAAAAATTCACTGAGTGTGGTGGTAGGCATCTGTAATCCCAACTACTCAGGAGGCTGAGGCCCTTGAACTCAGGAGGTGGAGGCTGCAATGAGCTGAGATTGTGCTACTGCACTCCAGCCTGCAAAACAGAGTGAGGCTCTGTCTCAAAAAGAAGAAGAAGAAAAAAAAAAAAGAAATTCCTTGTGTTCTGAAGACAAAAGTAACCCCATAAAAGGACACCGGATTTGCCAAGAACAAGACAGCTCTTTGTGGCACTTGGGGCAGCATCAGGGAAAGTAAAACAAAATAAGAAATCTCACCTGCTTGCAGACGACCTCTGTGCGAGCGGATCCCAACGAGGTGTCCAGACGTCTCAGGATCCCTGTGTGGCTTTCATCAGAGCCAGATGTACCATGAGCCTCAGAAAACGAAGGCCACCCAGTGTGGGAGCAGTACTTTTTCTCAGAACTGTGGAAGACATAAATGAGACTACAGCTGCTAATGACACTGTCATTAACGTGCCAAGAGGGTTTCATGCCCCAACATGTCGTTCCAGTGAGCAGGATCTGTTCCCACTCTCCTCTGCCAGATCCCAGTTCTGTGACAGTTGTCCCATGGGAATTGTCCTCACTGCACCTTCACTATTGAAGCCATTGCCTCTCGAAGTGAAAGGACTTCTTGATCCTTTGATGCTAAAGGCTTCTTTCTCGATGTCCAACAAGGATCTAAAAACACATGGTGCTTTGTGAACTGTGTTGCATATTAGGTAACACAGATCAAACCCATGTGTTGAAAATGTAAAAAAGGGAGAAATCAAAACTAAATACTAATCGTCAGAGAAAGTCATCACCTTCATGCATCACAGAGTGTACAGAAGGTCTGATGAGAAAGTCATCCTTAGCAACAGAAATATCAGCTTATCTAAACACAGAAGCCTCAACAGGGACTGAAAAGCTGCCTCTGGCCACTTCTTAGTTGTGTGAAATCACAGCTCTTGAAGCCTCAGTTTGCTCACCTAGAAAATGGGAATAGTATCTACCCCATGGGGCTGTTCTGAAGATTTGAGGGAAACTCTGTGAAGCGTGATATAAAGCTTAGCACATGGTAAGTGCCCTGAATGCTTGCTGTGATGATGATGATGATGATGAATTAATACACCTGGTACCTGGCATCAATCACTGCAGTGAAATCGAACTCTCCAGAAGTCTCCCAGGGACTCATGATGCTGGCACAAGGTGAAGGAGAAGGACAACAGGCAAATCCACTCACCAAAGACCCACCGTCTAAGTGCTCTAATGGATAAGCTCCCTTAAACGGCACTGGGAAAACAGTCTTTAAAACATTGCTATGGCAAGGAAATGGCTCTATCTAAGGAAGAAATAGAATAATTGAATATTAGACCCAGAAAAAAAAAAACTAAGAAGCAAAAGTGGCAAAGAGTCAAATCCCTAGACTATGAACACAGAAGAAAGCGTGGCTGACAGCACAAACTCCCACAGAAACAGCTGTGTAATGCAGCACTTTTCAAACATTTTGGTCTCAATACCCCTCTAAGTCCCCAAAATTAATAGACACCACTGAGAGCTTTTATCTATGGTTATATATGTCAACATTTAACAAATTATAAATTATAACTGAGAATTTAAAAATATGTGTGCATTAAATTTTTTTAATATAGGTTGAGAACCCCTTATCTGAAATGCTTAGGACCAGAAGTGTTACAGATTTCAGATCTTTTTGAATTCTGCATCTTACTTGATGGTTCAGCATCCTTAATCTGAAATACTCCAATGAGCATTTCCTTTGCGTATGATGTTGGTTCTCAAAAAGTTTCAGATTTGGCTAGGCGTGGTGGTGACTCACACCTATGATACCAGCTCTTTGGAAGGCGGAGGTGGGTGGATCACTTGAGCTCAGGAGTCAGAGACCAGCCTCGCCAACATGGTGAACCTCCCTCTCTACTAAAAATAGAAAAACTAGCTGGGCACGGTGCATGCCTGTAGTCCTAGCTACTTGGGAGGCTGAGGCAGGAGAATAACTTGAGCCGAGGAAGCGGCAGTTGCAGTGAGCAAAGATCAGGCAACAGAGTGAGACTCTGTCTCAAAAAATAAAAAAGTTTCAGATTTGGGTGAATTCAGATCTTGAATTTTCGGAGTAGAGATGCTCAACCTGAAATAAATTTATTGCATGTTAACATAACATATATTTCTGACAAATAATTGTACTTTTCAAAATGAAACAAATGTTTCTTGAGAAGAGTTGCACTGTTTTACAATTCTGCAAGGCTCTTTAATGCGTGACTTAGAAAAAGACAACTGAATCTTCCTATGTGCCTCTGCATTCAGTCTGCTGCTCTGTTGTTTTGATTTCCCTCCCAGGAATCCCTGGGGTCCTCAGACCAGGCTTTAAGAACCACAAGTATAGCCATTAGGAGGAAGGGCTTTGACTTCTGAAAGATTTGGGTGTGAATCCGGGATCTATCTGTTACATGTGTATGACCTGGGCAAGTCATTGAATCTTACGAAGCCTCAGTGTCCTAATCCATAGAAAAGTAGAAACTAAAAATAAAGTTCTAAGCTACGCACAGACTGAATAGACCCCTTCTTGGCCAAGGGGACTCTGGAAAAGCCTTTAAACCGAGTTTCCAGTCATGATGGGACAGAAGGTCAGACACACTTCATTATACCCCGGCCCTTTCATGGTTTAGACACAAAAAATGACCAGCATTAATGTTCAAATAGGGATCATAAGACTGGCAGAACAGACTGTGTGTGGCAATAATACACCAAATTATAAACAGAACCTAAGGCCATGCCAGGCCAAGGCGAAGTCACGTACCCCTACACTTAAAGAATCAACTATGTTCTAACTGCCACAAGGGTTTTCTTTTCCTCTAGCAGCTAAACAAGCCCTGGTCTTGAGATCAGCAGTGCTGAAGCAATTGCAGCTCGCCCACCATCAGACACGGACTACCTGAGAACCTCTTCCACCAGCCGTAACTACAGCTTTCATTGCACAAGGGTCTGATTTTAGTAACTTTCTCCTGATTAAAAGACCATGAACTGGTTCTGGATGCTTTATGGAGGCTGTGCACTCTCCAGCCTTCATATCCTGAAAGATCTTTTGATGTAAGGGTCTAATTATAATACAATTAAATGTTAAGTTTCTACCCCTAAATAAACATAGCTCACGTTACATGCATGTTTGTTCAGTATGTATATGTCAGGACCATCTTCATGAATTTTCATAGCCCCTCCTGTGATGTGTTAAATACGTGTGTTTAGCCAACGCCATCAGCATAAAGCTCCTACCCCAGCTGTTCCGCCTTCCAAGTGCCTGTGGCCACTCTTGGCTGAGAGCTTGCTTCCCAGACTGTGGGATGGCCATCTTGAAGGCTGTAAGCCCTTAGAAGAAATAAAGTCTCCTTTTCTAAATATATGGGTTGTATTATTCTTTAAGCTAACAATAGCAATGGCATTATCACCTCACTTTCCGCATATAGTATGCTTACCATAGTAAGCATGACACAAGGACATGGCACATGGCACATAAGTCAGTAGCTATTATTTTTAATATATTTTTTATTAATAAAAATCTATGAAATGTGAGCAGTAATGGGTCCAACTAGAAGCGTCTTCATATTCAGGTAGAGTTTACAACCTTCTTCCAAGGGTTCAAAAACATTCACCTGGCCATTCTGCTCAGGGTAAACATCATTAAGTATTGTTTCATCCCAGCCTTTCCATCCTCAACATTATATATAAACTAGTAATCATGAAAGGAATTTTGATGGAGAATTATGAATATAATAAAAGTATTTAAATGAATGAATCTAAGACTAATAAAAACTTATTAAAGCATTTATGGGAAACAATAAACCTTTATTGATGCAATTAGCAGAATCTGGAGATTTTACCAAGTAATATGAGAGGCCCAACATATGTAAGTCAAGACTGGGAACCGAAAATATTAAAGCTAATCAGAAATTCCAATATACATATTTAAGTGATTAGCAGATTGTAAGGTTTGCCCTTCAAGAACTAAAACCATTCTGAATCATATTCTCTAGGGGCCTTTTATTTTGTTTCATTTTATTTGCTTTGGTTTTCTTTGATTTCTGGAAGTTCTGCAGGTCCCAACCAACAGCACAGGCACTTGGTGATAATTGCCAACCCTAACCTCTTAGAAGAATTTCCATTCCTTTGAGAAAATGGGGCCCACAAAAGGTTTTTAACAATATTATTTAGTTACTCATGGCACGTACGACATCAGGATGTTATGTAAAAAGTGAACTAGTATCAGGCTCTGTTTCCTCTTATTTTATGAAGACTTATGGTCATGAAATATGTCGTCCCACAGTAGATTTTAATAGACACTTTCCAAAAAGGCTTACGGGGGAAAAACAAGGGAGAAGGAAGGAGAGAAGGAGGAGAGGAAGCAGCAGTGGGGGGCAATGTCACTTCATTCCAATTTAAGGAAATGAGAGTCTGGAGTCCCAGCTTTGGAGAGGCAGAGGCACTCCAAAACTGTGCACCAAACTCATTCCAACAGCTATAGGATGATGAGGGGAATGACAGTAAGTCTGGCAGAAGAGGCTGGGAACAAGGCTCTGTAAAGGAAACTCATGAGTTACACTGGCCAGCGTCGCCCTCAGAGGCTGCTTACATCTTCTGGGAAACAATGCCTGGAATTCAGAAAGCAGGCACTAGAAGGCGATGGCACCTATGTCAGTGGTGCTGCCCACGTGGCTTATGGAAGCTCAGCTAGTGAAGAATGTGGGCTCTGGGGTCCAAAACTGTGGGTTCGTATTTTGGCTGGCTACCTATAAGCTGCTGAACCCTGGACAAGTTATTTCATCTTCCTAGGTCTCGGTTTCCTCATGTGAAATGAGAACAATGATAACACTGCGTTGCGCTGCCGAGAGGTCTGATGAAATGATGCACATGAAGAGCCTAGGCACAGCACCTGCCACATGCCCAGAGGGCTTTGTCATTGCTGGGGAGCTTCTCACTCTCAAGAAGAGTGCACTGTACAGGCTCCAGTGGAGCCCCAATCCCTGCACTATCACTTACTAGGTAAGTGACCTAATTCTTTAAGCCTCAGTATTCACATCTGTTAAATGGGGGTTTTAGTGGCCCCTTATTGGAGGGAAAGGATTGTTTGCAAAGTACTGGAGCCCAGTGTCCAGCATATAAATGCTCAAGAAGTTGCAGCCACTTCCCTCACACATTTCCACAGTGATTTCATAACCACAGCTTCTTTTTGTTTATTTTCAGATGGATTCTCACTCTGTCACCCAGGCTGGACTGCAGTGGCTTGCTCTCAGCTCACTGAAACATCCACCTTCCAGGTTCAAGTGATTCTCCTGCCTCAGCCTCCCTAGTAGCTGGGATTACAGGTATGCACTACCATGCCCAGCTAATTTTTGTATTTTTAGTGAAACGAGATTTCACTAAAATGCTGGCCAGGCTGTCTTGAACTCCTGACCTCAAGGCCTGCCTTGGCCTCCCAAAGTGCTGGGATTACAGGCATGAGCCACCATACCCAGCCCATAACTACAGCTTCTGATAGTCCCAACATTGCTACAGTGTCTAAGCAGCACGACAGATATTATTAATCAACCGATCAAGAAGTACTTACGGAGCATGTAAGTATTAGTTTCTGAGATGGCTATAACAAAGTACCACAAAGTGGGTGGTACTCTCTCACAATCTGGAGGCTAGAAGTCCAAAGTCAAGGTGTCTGCAGGGCTCTGAAGCATCTAGGGAATCCCTCCTTGCCTCTTGCTACCTTCTAATGTTGCCGGCCATCTTTGGTTTGTAGCTGCGGATCACCAGTCTCTGCCTTTGTTTTCACATGGCTGTCTCCTCTCTGTCTGGGCTTCTTCTCCTCTTCTTATAAGGACAGCAGTGATATTGGAATTAGGGCCGACCCTACACCAGTATGATCTTATCTAAACTAATTATACCTGCAGCCACCCTATTTCCAAATAGGTCAAATTCCCAGTTTCCAGGGATTAAAACTTCAACACGTCTTTTTGGGAGACACATTTCAACCCCTAAGAACTTCCCTGTGCCTTGTCCAAGAAGTATACGATGGCCAAGGGACTCAAGGACCTGATCAGGTTTATCTCCTTAACGAAATAAAATACTGGAGCCAACAGGAGAATAATTAGGTCCTAAATTGTGTGCCACTGATAAATTAATAGGAATTTGAAGCAGATTGAAAAAAAAAACCCCACAGTATATGCTATCAGAGAAGGGTTCTGGAGAAATCTGCATTAGTGAGGCTGAGCAGATCCCAGGAGGCCAGCCCAGCATGAGGGGAAATCCCGGCCAGGGAGCTCAGAGGAGCCAGCGCTGCGTTTACTTGTTGAACGAACTACTGAGTTTTGGTTGACCAGCTTTTCCCTTTATTTTCACTCTCCACCAGCATTTATGGAACTATTATTTTTGCACCTCTTCGTCCTGCTATACAGACTGGAGACCAGAGACAGAAAGAGAAGGAAAACCAGAGGCCAAACAAGAATGTATTTCTAAAAATCCTCTTGAATGGGAAGAAGGTTCAGCAATATAGTCTGCATTTGTATATTCTCATTAATTAGAATATAACTCCAGAATTCCTCAGGATCAAAGGCACATTCATGTCTACAGCCCTAAGAGGTGTCTCTTGCTTAAGGATTCATCATTACTAACTCGGATCAAGTGCTGGCCTGAGTCAGGCATGTCAGGCATTGCTCTATGCTTTTCCATGTATTAATTCATGACCCAGATCATCCTCCCAACAATCTTATAAATTAGGTACTATTATCTTCATTTTACAGGTAAGAACATCAGACACAGAGAGGTTAAGAAAGTTGCTCAAGGTCACACAGCAATGGAGCCCACTCTATTGCCTCTCCCATAGATGAGTACATCTTTAAGAAGAGAATATTCTGGAACATAAATAATCTTCAGGAATATATTATTTCCTTTGGCTGCAGTAGCAGCAACAGGAAAAAGGAACAGAAGCAAACTTAGAAGTCTTTAAGAATGCAAAATGGAAACTTTTCAACTCAAACTGAACAGTGACAAAAAAAAAATAAGGTTGGTGAGTTGGCAGTCCTGTAAACTGGCCACTTGGTCACTGGGCTTTCAGAGACTCGCTGGTCTTCCTATTAGTCTTGGCTGTTTCACAACCTCCAGGACCTGGAGTTGGTCATGGAACTTCCTTAATTCGAACTAGCATTGTGTCAATACAGTAGCCTCTGGCCACATGTGGCCTTTTGTTTAAATTAAAATTAAATTCATAAAGTCAGCTTCTCAGCCATGCTAGCCACATCCTGAGTGCTCAACAAGCACGTGCGATGGGTGGCTGCCACATGGCCAGATACAGACATCTCCATCACCACAGGACGTTCTACAGGACAGAGCTTTTTGCTCTGAACTCAGGACCCTCCTGGCTCCAATATTCTGACACCACAACTAAGCCTGCAAGGTGAAAGGAAGGGAAGAAGGGCCCCCCTTTACAGATGCAGAAACCGGAACATCAAGGAAGTGCAAGAGTGAAGACCATGATTTAGGAGAATGCTCTTGCAAGGATGATTTACCTTCTGTATTCACAGTGCAAAGAGGGAGACAGAGCACTGCCTGGTGCCTGCAATAACAAGGGAGCCTTTGACACGCAGGCAGCACAGTTCTGTGTCTGAAAGACCATGGGCCATCTCAAAGTCCTACCTCTCCTCTTTAACAGAACCATAAAAGGTCGAGAAATAACTATTGTCTCCGAAACCCGAGTCCCACATTTTGCTGTGTAAAAATTAACCTCCTTCTAGTTTGCCCCATGCCAACATGAATGCATCCGGGTAAAGGCCTGCCCATCTGTGAGCACAGAGGAAAATCAATGCTAATCACTCCTCATCCTTGCAGGCAGGTCCGGCTTCCTAACGCAGCCCACATTAGTAGCCAGCCGGGCAGGAAGGCCCAGACCACTCAAAGCCCAGAGGACAGAAGGAAGCACTGCCTAATGGGTGATACACAGAGCTGGCTTGATTTATGTTTTATTCTAAACCAATTTAGAGTTGATGCAAAAGAAAGGAAAACATCTTTGAAGTTCTGAAAAATCGGACTTCAAAGATATTTTCCTTTCTTCTCCATCGAATCTACTTTTTTTAAAGACTGTTTCCTGCATGTCTAAACAAAAAAGCCTTTGTGGAGAGATTTCAGATCCTGATTGACTTAAAAGAGGCTTTGAAATCAAGGGACAATTAAATTTACTTTTAGCTAGATAGAAGAGGGTATGGTATTCACTACTGTCAAGCATTGTGGAGAATCTATCCTCATAAAACTCAACATTTCCTAAATTAAATTATAAACCCATTTTCCCTGGGAGAGAGTTTTAATCGCATGGCCCAGCAAATATAATCATGGTTTAGATTTCTTTAAATACTTTCCCTCTAAAAACAACAACAACAACAACAACAACAACAACAACCTCTGATAGCTTTATCATAAGGTGTCCACCAAGTTTTATTTGGTCGCTATTTCTTGAGGATACAGAAAGGAAGAATATAAGCTAAGAAGTCTTGTTAATAGCTCTAAATGCTAGGAAAAACGTCAAGACAAGCAAGTATCTTATATGAATAGCTCTCCTTACAGCAACAATGCAAAATGACAAGGGCAGTTTTTTTTGTTTGTTTGTTTTTTAAAAAAAAGGGTATTGTGGGAATTTTAAAATCCAAGATCTTAAATGAAACAGAGCAGCAAGAACCTGGAGGTTTGGTCTCCTGTGGCTTTCAATTCTTTATCTTACCTGAAGAGTGGACTATCACAGCATACGCAGTGGTACATTCCTGCTTCCTTGTTATTCAGGTAGATCCCACTGAAAGGCTGAAAATAAATTAGATATGTCACATTCAGATCTCTCTGAATACTACTGGCAGGAGATGATACAGCAGATTTAAATCCTGGGTAAGTCCCCACATCAAGGAATTTCTGTACTGGTTTGACAAAGTGCAAATAGCGCCAGAGAGAAAATAGTCATGCACACAATGAAGCAGCCTGAAAATGTATTTATAGCTGGGGCTTTATTGCATCCAATATTCAAATTATGACATTAGTAATGCTTTGTATTTATACAGGATTTTTCATCCAAGAGCTTCAAAGTCGGTGAAAAAGCAAGAAAACAGTCTTATCTTCTGTGATTGTGTGAGATTTTGGTCTTCCTTTCTTTTTTTTAAACTAGCATTCCTGGGTGGGCTCGAACCACCAGCCTTTTTTGGTTAACCGCCGAACGCGCTAACTGATTGCGCCACAGAGACAGGTTAGTCTTCCTTTCAAAAGAGTTGATACAGCAGGAATCTAGTCTACTGTCTAACACACTGAAATCTCCAATTAAAGACAGAATATAAATACATAAAAAGCACAGTTCAGTGAGATCAGGGATTTTGCCTGTAATATGCTTCATGTAATGTTTAGGACATGGCATACTTAATAAATGATAAATAATGACCTAGATTCCCCCAAGTGCCACTGGTGTCTCCCACTGGCTAAACTGAACCAAGAGCTGGGGGAAAGGGATCTGTTCACTCTTCCTAAAGCTCAGAGCAGGGGAAGCCTGTGGAGAGTGGATCTGGGGAGTAGACAGAGAATGACCTGCACAAAACCTCCCCTCTATTGATACTTGACTCTCAGTTATTGCTCAGCCAGCCTGTAAATTTATTCATTGGCTAGCAGAGTGCTAGCATATTACGATTGCCCAAGAAAGAACACGTGGGACTGAATTTTAATTTAGAGTCACCAAAGAGAAGCCTCCGATGTTTTATTTCTCTTCTCTTAGCTGAAAAAAGCTAATGAAGGCTTACAGCTCAGCAATATTCTAAAAAGGTAAATGTGGAAATGGATCCATGGAAAGGGATTTATAACATTAGTTAAAATAATGAATGATGCTCATTTTGTCAAATGGCCAAGTGCAGAGAGTATATTGTACCATCTGTTTGAGAAGCCCACAGATTTATTTTCCTAAACATCTGGCAGCTCATCTCTCGGGTCTCTCTATGTACCAAGCCCTGCCTGGCTTTGTACCTGAGAATTAGGGTTGGCTTAGAATACTCTGGGAATATACACAACTGCTCAGAGTATCATGTGGTTCCCTTGTGTGATCTACACAAATGGCTAATGTCTCTTTCCCAATGAGAGCTTTAATAAAATTCCACCCACAGGAAGTTTTCAAACATACCAGCATTTCAGGAGACTCTATTGGGATGTGCTGGCCCTTCTAATGACTTTAGCATTGGAGAAACTGAGGGTGAGGCCATGATTACAATGCCAGTGCACGTGGGCAGTGACATGAGTTCTGCGGGTGCTGATGAAGGAAAAAACATTCATACCCTACCATACCTGAAGCCACAGGGCTGGGGTCCACTCTGCGGGATCTGCTTCACTAGGAAAAATATCTAAGAACAAAGTTCAATTCAAAAAAGCTACACTTCAGTAGCTATATTTGGGTCTAAGACAGACCACTTGTTAAGAAACACGGCACAATGTTCTCATTTATATGTGAGAGCTAAAGAATTTGAGCACGTGGAGGTAGAGTGGAAAAATGGATAACAGAGCCTGGAAAGGGTGAGCAGGGGGTAAGGGGATGAAGAGAAGTGGCTTAAAGAGCAAGAGAAAAATAATACACTCAGTGTTCGATAGCAGAGTAGGAGGATGACACTTAACAAAAATGCATTGTATTCAGTTGACAGACACCCTGAATACCCCGACCTGATTACTATGCATTATATATGTGGAACAGATTTTCTCATGTACCCCATAAACTTGTATACACACACACACGGACACATGCCCACACAGAGAAATGCAGCGCTGTAAAAAATGGTGTTATAATGAGGAACCACTGAGGGTTATTCTCAGAAAATGAATGAAAGCCGAGACTGCCAAATGCAGTTTAAATAATGTTTCCACCTCTTAGCTGGCAGTCATTCGACATTCACAAAAGTTGATTTTTCAAATGCCTAGTATGGCCAGCCACCACGTTAGGTGCCAGGGGATGTCGCAGCAATGGCAGATGCTATAAAGGAAGAGTTCTGCTAGAAGCGAGCTTTGCTGGGGACTAGGAGAAGGTTTCCCAGAGAAAGTGAGATTTGGGCTGACAGCTACAAGGTAGGTCTGAATGAATGGACGGAGGGTGTGGGGAGGGATGATGGGAGAGAAGAAGGAACGCTGGGTGCAAAAGCCTTAAAAGAGAAGGGAGCCCAGGGCGTGTGAGAGTTCAAGAGTGGTGCGGCCAAAGTGCGGAGTCAAGAGGGCAGATGACTGGATTTGAGGACTGGGGTGGGAGCCAGGGGCCGTTAGGACCTTATTAGCCATTTCATACTTCTCCTTTTCCTTGAAAGCACTGGGCAGCCACCAAAGGTTTTGAGCTGCGGGGTGATGTGGTCAGATTTGTGTTTTCCAAAGAACTCTGGCTGCAGTCTGGAGAACGGGTTGGCTGGAGCAAGAATGGCCATGCACAGGGGAGATGACAGTGACTTGGCCCCGCAGGGAGGTGAGAGCAGTGCATGGAAGTGAAATATGGGAAGGTTATGTAGAAGTCAGAATAGAGATGATGTGTCCAGGGAAAAGTGTCAGGTTTCTACAGCTCTATGGATATCGATACCTGGAGAAGGGAACAATGGAGGAGGAAGACCAGGTCTGTGGGGTGTGGATGGGCAGCTGGGTTTCATAACGGGACCTATTCCAACTCCCCCATCACTGCCAACACACGCAATCAGAAAACTGTAAACCAGCTTAGCTTACTGGTTCCGTTCCCTTTTCTCTGGTGACGTAGAATTGCTCTGGGGTTAGTTTCTTTTGCCACTCACTCTTGGCAAGAGGCAGCTCACACCCTGTATTGTTGAACGGGAATTTTAAAAATTAAAACAAAAATGCTTGATGGACTTTTCTTTCTTGGCCTTTTTCCCTAAATGCACTGTCACCCAGCAGAATAATCCCGTCCCTTCCTCTCCCACAAGTTCATTCTTCATGGGGACCAGAAGGCTCAGGCACAAAATGCCTTCATTGCCCATTTAATTAGGAAGAAATTAGTAAGAAGTAGAGAGCCAGTTTTCTAGTCCTCCTGGGGCATAGAAGCTGAAGGGGCAGCTGCAATATGAAAGAATGCGGAATACATTCCCTTCAGGTACCTAAGGGTAGAAACTGATCCTCTCTTCTGTGATGACTTTGACAGGAGCAGCTGCTGTCAGGATCCAGCCGGAAGTAGTGGAGGCATTGGACAGAAAGAACTGTAAGCTCATTGGTTATTAAACTCTTCTCCCTTGCTGGTTTATAAGGATATCTCTGATTTTTCTTGCAAAGGTAGGTCTCTATTTTAAAACTCTTTTTGCATGGAACAAAAGATGAAACTCCCATAGCACATAGTCCTGAAAGGGAAACAGACCTACCATAATCTATTACTATGCTTCCTGATTTTGTCCATATTTCGTTTTCCTCTTTCCTACTCTCCTTGGCACGTATATTACTACATTAATTCAGGTGAGTGTAAACCAAGTAACTAGAGCAATACTCTCTTGAGCCAAAGGGGGTAGGAAGCCCAACTCCTATAATAAATGTTTTTAATCATCCAACATTAAGAATTTGAAAGGATTTACAATGTGTCCCAACTCTTCAATTTACAGATGAGAAACAGAGGCCCAAAGGGTTAGTGATCTGACCACAGCACTGAAGATGAAATGTTAAATGCCTGTGATGTCAGCACCTATATATCAAACACATCAGAAGTTATAGTTGAAATTCATTTTGGGTTATAAAAAAATGCCCTAAATTATCCTTCAGCAAGAAAAGACTTATCTTTTCACCAGTTTATAGTACTGAACAATATTGCATTTCCAGTGGTGCATTTAGTTGATTGCTTACATTTTGCTAAAAGGTTTTTGAACTATTTAATATATTAAAAGTTTTTTTATTGCCTTTTATTACCATTATTATTCTTACACAAAGGCTCCCCTAGGAGGTATCTTTTATTAAATATATGCTTTATAAGACTACAGGGGTTTCTTTTTACTATAGAAATATATCTCTGAAATTCTTAAGGAATATACCTCAGTTAACACATGATTTTTTGGGTATTCGACACTTTGGAGACAAAACAAAATGTATTTATGTGTTAATTATTATTGCCCAATGGCCTTCAGAGTTATCAGGCAGACTGTCAGGTGATAAATGAAGAATGAAGTGTAGAATTTTTTAAATCACCATTTTGTAAAAATCATCAGAGGATTCTAAAATTCCTGGGTGAAATAACAGAATAGTCACATCTTCCCAAAATCCAACCCCAAAGTTTATTAATTACAATGAAGAAAACGCCACCACCTTCACCAAGTAGGCTAAGTTAGCATCACCAACAGTGGGACAAGTGACATCCTGTCTTCCTGATGTGATGCCATGGAAAGGACACAACATCACCAGGAAAGTGGTCCTGCTGAAAATGCTCCATCTGTGTCTCATGGAGAAACAATCACATAAGTGAAAATTGAGGGAAAGTATTCAAAACAAGTACTCTCCACAACTAAATACAATGTGTGACCCTTTATTAAATTCTAGATCCCAGAAAAAAAATAAGAGCTATAAAAGACATTGCTTGTATATGGTGGGAAATTTCAATATCAACTATGTATTAGACAAGGGTGCTCAATTTGCTGAGTAGGAAAACTGTCTTGCGGTTTTGTAGGAAAACATCTTTGGTCTTAGGAGACACACGGAGACATTTAGCAGGAAAGCGTCATGATGGCAAGTTCTTGGCGTGCATGAGCCAGGACGGGTTTCTGCGGGTGTTCAGCTTTGACTCAGTGGAGCTGCATGGTATGATGAAAAGCTACTTTGCAGGCTTGCTCTGTGTGTGCTGGAGCACACCACACATGATGGCCACAACTCTCAAATAGTTAAGCAACAGTCATATAAAGTATTAGTGTGTGAGTGTGAGTTTGTACGTGTGTGTCTCAGTATTGGAGAGAGAGATGGGGAAGGGCACGTGAATCTGGAAGGGAACTTCAACTCTATGAGATTTTCTCCAGTATCCCACAATCCCAGTTTAATTGTGAGGAGAAACATCAAATATCCCAGACTGAGGGACATTCTACAAGGAACCCGCCCAGTACTCCCCAGAACTGTCAAGGTCATAAAAAACAAGGAAAGACAGAGACAGTTTTGACATATGTACCATGATTATGTCAGAAGTTAACCAGGGGACCTAGGTGAGGGGTTTTGAGAACTCTGCACTATCTTTATAACTTATCTATAAATCTAAAATTATTCCAAAATTTAAAAAGCTTATTTAAAAAACTATCTTCTCCATGGCTACGCCTGTACCATTAAGCACTACTGGAGAAAATCCCCCACCTGAGGGAGAGTTGTCTTTATAAACTCAAAGTTACTCATCTTACTGGGATTTCAGTGAACCACAGTGAGTATTATCTTTCCCCAGCCAGCTATCTTCCCATTTCTCTGCAATGGCTGTTTTAAACCTTTTCTACTCTCAGGAATGTAAACTAGTACAACCACATGGAAAACAGTGTGGAGATTCCTTAAAGAACTAAAAGCAGAACTACTATTTGATCCAGCAATCCCACTACTGGGTATCTACCCAGAGGAAAAGAAGTCATTATATAAAAAAGATACTTGTACATGCATGTTTATAGTAGTACAATTCACAATTGCAAAAATATGAAACCAACACAAATGCCCATCAACCAACTAGTGGATAAAGAATGGATGGTGTATATATACCATGGAATACTACCCAGCCATAAAAAGGAACAAAATAATGGCATTCACAGCAACCTGGATGGAACTGAAGAGTAAGTCAGGAATAGAAAACCCATCATCATATGTTCTCATTCATAAGCAGGAGCTGAGCTACGAGGCTGCAAAGGCATAAGAATGAGACTTTGGGACTCAAGGGGGAAAGGGTGGGAGGGAGAATGAAGGATAAAGGACTGTACACTGGGTACAGTGTGCACTGCTCAGGTGATGAGTACACCAAAATCCGAGACATCACCACTAAAGAAAGAACTTATTCATGTAAGGAAACACCACCTGTTCCCCAAAAACCTATTGAAATTAATAATAATAATAATACCTTTCCACTCTCCTCAAACCATGGTATCTACTACATCTCCCCTTCCTCTCAGTAGATGATCTTGCTTTTGCAAAATCAAAAGCCACAACAAAAGAAATCCCTCAACTTCTTGCAACCAAACCATCACACTTACCTATGCCTGTATCTCTCTACCCCTTTTCCATCTTGTCGCAATGGAACAACTGACTGCATCTGATATGGTTTGGCTCTGTGTCCCCACCCAAATCTCATGTCAGACTGTAATCCTCAGTGTTGGAGGTGGGGCCTGTTGGGAAGTGATTAAATTAGGGGGGCGAATTTCCCCTTTGGTGCTATTCTAGTTAGTGATGGTGAGTTATTGAGAGATCTGGTTGTTTAAAAGTACACCTCCCCTTCTCTCTCTTCCTCCTGCTCTGACCATGTAAGACCTGCCTGCTTTCTATTTGCCTTTCACCATAATTGAAAGTCTCCTGAGGCTTCCCTAGCCATGCTTCCTGTACCGCCTGTGGAACCATGAGCCAATTAAACCTCTTTACTTCATAAATTACCCAGTCTTCAGTATTTTTTTTTTTTTTTTTTTTTGAGATGGAGTCTCGCTCTGTCACCTGGATGGAGTGCAGTGGCATGATCTCAGCTCACTGCAACCTCTGCCTCCCAGATGCAAGTGATTCTCCTACCTCAGCCTCCCAAGTAGCTGGGACTACAGGCAGGCGCCACCATGCCAAGCTAATTTTTGTATTTTTAGTACAGATGGAGTTTCACCATGTTGGCGAGGATGATCTCAATCTCTTGACCTCATGATCCACCTGCCTCCACCTCCCAAAGTGCTGGGATTACAGGTGCAAGCCACTGGGCCCGGCCTTTCTCTGGTATTTCTTTATAGCAGTGTGAGAACAAAGTAATACAGCCTCCTCTTTTCTGTGTTTTTTTTAAATTTTTTTTCTTTTCTTTTTTTTTTTTTTGCCACTTCTGTTCAGGATCCTATCTCTTTTTGTCCACCCCAAATGAAGAAAAAAGGAAATGCTTTAGCCAGAGGCACCAAAAAGAGCAAGGACAGGCTTTATTAGTAAGAGTGAAATGTCCTGGGTTCCTCCTCCAAGATCTAAACTCTAGTCCCTTGGGGAACTTGTGAGACCTAACCTCTGGCCGTCACTGACATCTGTCAAGGAAAGGAGTAAACAGCATCATGATAAAACACCATCCTCTTGGCTTTGGCAAAGATCTTGCATTATCCCTGTGGATAGGTAAGAGGACTGACTTTAGGTACTAAGGTTGAAATTTACAGTCTGTGAAGCTGGCTTTATCTTCCTTTCTCCTTTCAGGAAGGAAGTGGAATGGGCTTAGAAAAAAACCCTATTGTCTCCTGGAAGCACTGTCCTTCCTGTGACTTAACAGGCAGCACAATATAGTAGCTGACACTGGAAAGAGGGAATTAGAGAAGGGCTAAAAGTCACTGGGACTCTCATGAATTGAGCTTTAAAACATGTACTTCCTTCGCTTTGAACCTATGGCTTGAGATTGTCTGGGTTTCCCAGCTCCGTCTCCCACACCTCTATATTTTGTCACACCTATTAGAGAGAAACTTATCTGTTCTTCAGATACCACCTTCTCTCTCTGCCCTAATTTTTTTAATAGACTGAGTGTCACTGTGTTGCCAAGAATGGAGCAAAATTCATAGGCACCATCAAAGCACACTACAGCCTTGAGCGCCTAAGCTCAGCGATTTTCCTTCCTCAGCTTCCCAAGTAGCTGAGACTACAGGTGCATGACACGGTGCCACGCCATAATGTTTTCTTGTTAGGTTTAAAATATGTAACTAATATTTAAATTGCTAAATGAAAGAATCAAGCCTTCATCTAAGTACAATATGAAAGGACATTTTTCATGGTTCTTTTAATCCTTATCAATGTGGACCTTTTACACTATTTTTAATGTATCTGAAAGCTTTAGTGGGTCAGCAATAATGTTTAGACTAGTTCTTTCTCAAGCCCAATGATACAACATTTAGCTGCAGACTTGCCAGCCTAGAAGGCTCACTCAAGGGCAGATGGACTCTGCTTTGATAGCTCAGTGACAGATGCTCAGTTGGGTACGCCCTGGTCAGGATATATGTGGGCAGTATCACTTTAAGAGGTTTCTTTGACTTGGATATTAAGAGCTGAATTGTGACACTCCCTGTCCCCCAACTTCCAAATTCATATGCTGAAGTCCTAATCCCCAGTACCTTAAAATGTGACTGCATTTAGAGACAGGGCCTTTAAAGAGGCAATCATGTTAAAATAAGCCATTAAGAGGGGGCCCTAGTCCAATAAGACTCGTGTCCTCGTAAAAGGAAGAGACAGCGAGAAAAGGCCAGCTTGAGGACACAGCGAGAAGATGGCTATCCCCAAGTTAAGGAAAGAGGTCTCAGGACAAATCAGCCCTGCTGCCCCTTGGTCTTGGACTTCCAGCCTCCAGAACCGTATGAAAATGAATTCCATCCTTTAAGCTGCCCAGCCTATGGTATTCTGTTACGACATCCCTAGCAGATGAACACACTGGGGCTTTAGGAAACAATGAAAATTTAAATAAAAATTGCAGTATGAATTCTGTGCAGTTTTAACAAACAGCAATTTAGGCACATGTACATTAGAGACACAACAAGGTCTCTGACTTGGGAATAAGTCAAGTCTTCTGGCCTCCGTGGCCAGAGAGGTTTGGACACTGCTTGTGTCCTTTTGTATGTGTGCGTCCAGGTACTTTCTGTCTTCTGCACCATGTGCTAACCCTTTGGGGGCTATACATTTCCCAGATTCCCTCTACATTCTCTTGCTATCAAAACATTTATCGGTTGCTGCTCTTGCACAAGATAGCTACACAACTTTACTCTGAGTTATGCCTTAATAAACTCAAATTCCTTGGAGTTCTTTTCTGAGTGCTGTGATTTGCACAGGCCACGTATCTTGGTCAGAAGTTTCATGGGGTGGGCCTCAATTTTTTCATCCCTAAGGAAATCCCCTCTTGGTCCTTTAGTCACCTACCAGGTGCCTCCTTTGGGTTTTGCTAACCTTCCTAGCCACAGTTGCTATACTGCCAATTGTCATGCATAAACCCACTTCATTCTGATAAATACTTGTTGAATCTAATGGAACCCACTAGAAACTGGTATTAGAAGAATCCCCAGGCCATTCTGATCTGCAGAACTGTCTCTCCCACCACAGTGCCTAGACTATTTTAACCCCATGCCCTGGATGGTTTCTTAGCATAGTCACTCTATAAAGAATATTTTCCTGAAGCAACAGATTGTTTTCTCCGGGATATTTCTTACTTTGCTTTTTCAGTTTGCTCTTTGTCCATCTGGAGAACAAAATCACTCTAAGCATATGAGAAATTGCAGCACTGGAGAAAAATACTGTCATTTCAACATCTTCTCATTCCCCCATCCCAATTTCTCTCTCTCTCAACTGACCCCCTAAGCCCATAACGTAAGTTAAATGTAAGCTATGTTTTTGTCCTTTCCACTTATGTAATCATAACCAACATTTATTGTGTGCCTGCTAAGTATGAAGTATTGTAATAAAATATCTAATTAAAAAGTTACTTTGTACAACAACCCTACCCTACCATTACCATTATCCTTATTTTATAGAAGGAAAAAAAAAATCTGAAGTTTAAACTTAGCAAATTCAAAAATGTGTCCAAAGACACTGTTACAAACTGAATGTTAGGTGTTCTCCCTGATCCTCTCCCTGCCGCCATATGCTGAAGCCCTAAGCCAATGAGATGGTATTTGGCGGTGGCGCTTGGGAGGTTATTAGTTTTAGATTCGATCATAAAAGTGAGGGATTAGTGGTTCTTCCTGAGACAGTCAAGTGAATGCAGAGTGAGAATGCAGTCAACTGCAAGCCAGGAAGCAGGTCTGCATCAGGAACCAAATCTGTTCCCACCTTGATCTTGGACTTTCCAGCCTCCAGAACTGTGAGAAAATGTCTGTTGTTGAAGCCACCCACTCCACAGTATTTTGCAATAGCAGCCTGAGCTCGGACACAGAGCCAGGAAGTCACAGAGAGCCAAGACTCAAAATCTGCATCTATCCATAACCAAGCCCTTCATCACCTGTTTATCATTTTTCATGGCTGCCTAACAGTTTGTTGGACTGAGTTTTCATGATTTATCTAAGTATTTCTTAACTGATTTGGGCTATGGCCAGTTTCCATTCTGTAACAGTGTGTAAAGCATCTTTGCATATATAGCTTTGCTCTTCTTTTGAGCTATTTCCTTCAAATAACTTCTCGGGAGCGGGTGTCTGATAAGGTACACAGCTCCTGTTACCTATTGGTGTCTGTCCAAATTTTAATGTTGCTGGAGAACTTCAGATCCCAGAGCAATCTATTAGGCTGCTTCTGACAGCAGCAATTATAGCCATGAAGTAGTTCCCGTTAAACCATTATCCTGTACCAAGGGGGATAAAGATCTCCAGTCAGTAACTGTGATCTGTTTCTGTCACCTGTGGTTCTTGGCAAAACTATGCTTGGCACACAGTAGGCTCACAACAAATGTCATCAGACTGACTGACTAGAGACACCAGGGGTTAGACAGGCTATAGCCGGAAGTCATGTTGGATCAGCTAACATTCCATGACGCCAGCGCTTTTGTTTAGTTGCCTATTATTTCTTTCTTTCTTTCTTTTTTTTTTAGACGGAGTTTCGCTCTTGTTACCCAGGCTGGAGTGCAATGGTGCGATCTCGGCTCACCGCCTGGGTTCAGGCAATTCTCCTGCCTCAGCCTCCTGAGTAGCTGGGACTACAGGCACGTGCCACCATGCCCAGCTAATTTTTTGTATTTTTCGTAGAGACGGGGTTTTACCATGTTGTCCAGGATGGTCTCGATCTCTTGACCTCGTGACCCACCCGCCTCAGCCTCCCAAAGTGCTAGGATTACAGGCTTGAGCCACCGCGTATTCTTTTAATATAGCGTTTTGAAAACTTCAGTGACTAAACAGAGGTCCGAATGAGTTGGAACATTTTCATCAGTTGGGTATCACTGAAGTTCTTCAATGAACACACAAAATTGCATTCAGAGGTGGGTCAGTCTGGCAACTGCCCGCGATGCCAATCCTCTGGGGCACTAAATTCCCCTGAAACAGACCTGAAATGCAGGGGTGGCTGGCGCTGGTCTCCGAGGTGACTACTTCCTGAGTAGTGAAATGTACAAGTACCCAGATCCAAGAGAGGATACACAGACACACAGGTACCTAGATCCAAAAGAGGACACACACACACACACCCTGGTCTCTGTCTCTGTTATTAATAATGGCTGTCACCTTAAAAAGAACAAACGATCAACCAGTCTCCCTGGCTCCTAGACACATTCATGGGAAGACAGCAGCACAGGAACACGAAGTCTGAACTGCCTGCATCTCAGCGACTGGAAGGAAGCCCGCGGAACTACGAAGAGGGCTGCGGTGCAAAATACCAGGGGCCTTCACAGGGGTGCCGGGCCCCCGCCTGGAGTCCCGGATCAGGGTCAGGGGCCCCCGGGCCCCACTTCTATGCCCTCACTCTCCCCGCCCAAAAATAAAAAAAAATTATGCGCATATTTAGGGGGATAATTTGCTCATTTCCTCGGATTCTCACAGGGATCAGTCCCCACCCGCCACCACCAAGTCTACAATCCACTGTCCCAGACCCCCGGGCGGGGGCGCGCCGCGGGGGGCTCAGGAGGAGGAGGGCAGCGCCCCGCCCGGACCGGCCCAGGCCCCGGGTACGGTGGGTGAAGGGAAGCGGAAAGCCGGAGGCGGCGGCGGGGCCCGCGAGGCCTGCGTCCTACCTGCCTCCCCTCGGCCCCGCTTCGCCCGCAGAGGCGCCGCTCCGAGGCGCAGGCCCCGGGGCAACCGGAGGAGTCGCGCCATGACGCCCGCTCGGGCACCGCCCCGCTCTCTGCCCTCGGCCCGCCTCCGCCCCGCCCTCGGCCCTCGGCCCGCCTCCTCCCCGCCCCCATTCTGCCCCTCGGCCCGCCCCCTTCCCCGCCCCCATCCTGCCCCGCCCCTCGCCCTCTGCCCTCGCCCCGCCCCCATCCTGCCCCGCCCCCGCCCCCCGCCGGCGCCTGTCGGCCTCCCTCCCCACGCTCCGCCCCACCGCCCACCCCGGCGTCTCCGTTTCCTGCCCCTCCCTCCTTCCCAACTTCCCACCTGCTCCTCCCACTCCGCGTCCCAGGCCCTTCCAGGTCTGCGGCCCTCTTCCTCCCCGCTCTGCCGCCGTCTCCTCCTCCCTCTTCCCTTCCTTTTCCCCTCGCCTTTCCTCCCCCTTCGTCTCTCCCTTCCCTTCTGTGAGACCCTCCCCAGCCCACCTCTGCATCTCCCAGCTCCTCCCACTCCTGCTCCTCCCTCGCCCTGCCCCACTCCACTCTTCCTCAGCCCAAACACTGATCTATTTTAGTCTGCATTTTCTAGAGTCGTCCATAAATGGAATCATCCCATATGTACTTGATTTTGTCTGGCTTCTTTCACTCAGCACAGTTACTTTGACATGCCTGAGTGTTTTTGCAAGCAGCAACCATTCATACCTCGCTAGTGCTGAGCAGTATTCCAGTATGAATATACCACCGTGTATTTATCTGATCACCACTTGATTTAGGCTGCTTTCAATTTTTCCTGATCAGAACTACAGCTGCTAGGAACATTCCTGTGCAAATCTTTGTACAGACACATACGGATTTTCTTCTCTGGGGTAAATACCTGGAAATGGAATGCCTAGGTCATAAGGTAGGTGTAACCGTTTAAGAAACTACCATACCGTTTTCCCAAGTGTTTTTTTTTTCTTTACATTCCCACTGGCAGTCTATTCGAGTTCCAGTTGTTCATCATCCTTGCCAACACTTGAATGTGCAGAGATTTTAATGTGTAGTGTAGAGATTTAATGTGTAGTGGTAGCTCATTGTGGCTTTCTGATGCATTCTGTAATCGTTAATGATGTTGAACATCTTTTCATGTGCTTATTTTCGGCAAATATATTTTCCTTGCTGAAGTGTCTGTTCAACTATTTTGCCCATTTAATGTTAAGTTGTTTAATTATTGAGCTTAGAACATTGTATATATTTTGGATAAAACTCTTTTATCAGATATATGCTTAACAAATATTTTTTTCCAGTCTCTTGCTTTTCTGTCTCCTAATAGTGTCTTGGGAAGAGCAGAAATTTTTAATTTTTATAAAACCCAATTTATCAATTTTTTAATGGATCGTTCTTTTTTTTTTTTTGGTGTTATATTTAAGAAATCTTTGCCTAATCCAGGATCACAAAGATTTTCTCTTGTGATTTGTTCTAAAATCTTTCTAGTTTTAGGTTTACATTTAGATCTCTGACCCATTTTGAATTAATTTTTATATATGGCCAAAATTTTGTTCTGTTTTTTATCTGTTTTGTTTTTGCATATCTATATCCAGTTGTTCTAGCACCAACTTTAGAAAGACTACCGATTCTCCACTGAACTGTTTTTGAATCTGTGTCAAAAATCGGTTTTCCATTAGTATGTTGGGTCTATTTCTGGTTCCTATTCTGTCCCATTAATTAATTAATTTGTCATTTTTACATCAATACTACAATATCTTGATGACTGGACTTGGAACCAGCTAGCATTGGTACTGTACCTCTGTTCTTTTTTAAGGTTGTTTGGGCTATTTTAGGTCTTTTGTATTTCAATGTAAATTTTAGATTCAGTTTCTCAATTTCTACACACAAGTTTACTTAAACTTTGATTGTGATTGTATTGATTTTTATCCATAAGTTTGGGGAAAATTAGTATTATAACAATATTCAATCTTCTGACTCATGAATAAAGATATGCCTCTCTATTTATTTAGGTCTTCCTTAACATCTACTAGCAGTGTTTTGTAGTTTTCAGTGTATACGTCTTGCACATCTTCTGATAGGTTCATCCTAAAGCATTTCATATTTTTGATGCTGTGGTATTGTTTTATCAATTTCAATCTCTGATTGCTAGTATGTAGATTTTGTATATTGATCTTGTATTCTGAAATCTTGCTAAACTCACTTCTTAGTTCTAGTAACATTTTATTAATTTCATCAGATTTTCTACTTAGAAAATCATGTGATTTGTGTGGAAAGAGTTTTACTCTTTCCTTTTGAATACAGATGTCTTTGCTTTCTTTTTCTTGCCTTATTGCACTGGCTAGAGCCTGTACAATGTTGAATAGAAGTGATGAGAGTGAACATCCTTGTCTTGTTCCTGATCTTAGAGGAAAAGCATTCAGTCTTTGACCATAACGTATGATATTAGCTGTAAGTTTTTCATAAGTTTTCTCTCAGATTGAGGAAACTTCTATTTGTAGTCTACTGAGAGTTTTTATGAGAAAGGGATGTTGGATTTTTGTCAAATGTTTTTCTGCAGCTATTGATATAATCATACTTTTTTTCCTATTTTATTTTTTGAGTTTGTTACTTTATTTTCAAATGTTAAACCAACTTAGTACTTTTTCAATAAAGCCTGCTTTATCGGTTTTATTATTTGTTTTATGTATTGTTGGATTATGTTCTATGTTTCATGGATTAGCATTTTTAGAAATTTTGCATTTGTTGATGAGGGATGTTGGACTGAAATATTATTTTCTTATAGTATCTATCTGGTTTTGTATCTGAGTAATAAGTAAACAAATTCAAATCCAGAGAGGTTAAGTACCTTGTCTATGATCACACTGCTAGTTAGTTGAAGAGTTTGCAAAGTTTCCCTTAGGTTTAGAATTTAGAAAATATCAAGGAATAGCAGTTTAACTCACCCACCTCCATCCCCAATCCCAAGTAAAGTTAATAAATTACTTAACATTGTGACATTGTAGGGGGAAAAAAAAACATGGAGTCTTGTGTAGAGCCTACCCAATTCAGAATATCTTAAATTTAAAAGAGGCATGAGCTTGATCAAGTATTCAACCTGTGACAGATCAGTTTTCTTATCCCCAAAATGTGGTTATTGTAAGGATTAGATACAATATATGTTAAAACACCTAGCAAAGCCTTTGGTATATACTTGGTTTTAATAAACGTTAGTTGTTATTGAAGATTAAATGAGGACAACAGTAGTTGGTAAGCAGAGCTGGTAACCAATCTCTCCTTGCATTTCTGCACATCTTCTCACACTCCCAGAAAGACATTCTAAGCACAGAGGAAGTCCCTCCCTGCCTACCGCCATTCTCCTTGACACCTCCTAGGAGGACCTTTACCTCATCTTTGCCCAGACCCTTTCTGGTCTTAAAATGCTCCCTCTTCTCACCACCATTTGTCTAAATACAACTTAACCACCCAGGCCCTGCACTGATCTCACATTTTTGGACACATGGTCATAGTCTGAACAAAACTTACTTTATGTTTCCCCTTTTACTTCATACACTGAGTGGTAGAAACTCCCAGTTGCCTGGCCAGTATCCACTCTCTCTACTTACAAACAGATCTTTGATTTTATTAAGAGTAGCAATATGCCTAGCTAAAATGTTACACCTGCCAGCTCTCTTGTAGTAGTTGGTGGCAGTCATGTGACACTGTTTTGGACAATGATAGGAATAGACATCACTGGGAACTGCCAGAAAAACCAGTTAAAGAGGAGCTGTCTCAGTACTAGTCTTTCACTCTGCTTTTTCTTTCTGCTTGGAAATTAGTCATGATGGCTGGAGCACTGGCAATCTTCTGCTATACGTGAAGATGAGACCCACATCTTGATTTTATAAAAGTAGAAGATATGAAGGAGCCCAGGTTTCTGAAGACAGTGTGGAGCCAATATACTGGCCCTAGATTGCCTGCTTTCAGATTTCCAATTACATGAGAGAAAAATAAATATATATATATATTTTTTAAATCACTGTTATTGGGATTTATGTTTCATAAAGTTGATACAGTTTATATCTGATGTCCTGAATTTGATTGTGAGAATCTTTAGGAAAGGCAGAGTTCTATAACTGTGACTTTTTGTATGTCCAACACACTTCCCTGCAAACTATAAGCACATAAAAAACAATTGCTGATGATAAAGATCCCTAAAAGATAAAATAGAATGACCAAAAAATGGGAGATCAGTGCAAAAGCCAATTTGCTTTTCTCTACCAAAAAACCATTTTGGAAAGAATAAGGGATTGGAATAAGCTTTGCACAGTTTCTCTGTCATCACCCTCTTCTGTATGAAGAAGATATATGTTTCAACCATGCGAAGACTCAACTTTCTTTGAGTCTCATATTTGCTGGGGCCCTGTGTCCGTGTGCACTTTAATACATTCGTGTGTTTTTTCTTCTGCTACTCTATTGTCAGTTTATTTCAGAAGGCTGACTTCAGAGGGAAGTTTAAACTTCCCTACTACACACACACACACACACACACACACACACGCACACGAAATAAAACAATGCTGCATATATCCATTTTTAAATAAAAAGAATTTTCAGACAATAGAAGCAATAAAAGGAGTTAGCACTGAACAATGATAAGGTTGACAGGTTCAAGTGAATGAAATTTAAATACATACATACATACCACAAGATGAAGAACAAAAAATGATTAGTCTCAAATTAGAAAAATTAAAATGATAAAAATATGAGAGCATTGTAATACACATAACAGTAAACACAACATTATATCTGTTAGGGAAATTAATATTATCTATATGGGCAGTTTCAGGCCAGACTGGACAGATGGTTAAAGAATATGAACAGATGGTTTGCACAAGGAAAAATACAAATAGCGAACAAACACTTGGGAAAATGTTTAGCTTCCATAATAATTAAAGAATTAAAAATTAAAATTGCCTAATATATTGCATCATGCATATTAAATTTTTAATAATAGTTTTTTGGTGTTTTTTTTTTTTTTTTTTTTTTTTGTAACCAAAGTTACCAGAGCTTTGAGGACTCTTATGCTGCTAGTAGAACTAGTATCATACTTTTTCTGGAAAGAAATCTG